TTGGTTAATTCTTTGTTCTCAACTCACAGTTGCTTTTGGAAGGGGCTGAGTTTCATTGTTGTGACCAGGCATCTGAACTTAGTAATGATGAAACCTTCAGAGAAATATCAGTCCTTTAGAGCTTGATTCAAATTACTGTTCCTGAATATTCCTAAAATTAGGGAAGAATTTTCTCTCTGTTAATGCGAGATTTTTAGGTCCAAGGAGAAAGACTGCCTGTCATGTGCTCTTTCATACACTTTTTAAGGTGTAGTTTTATCCACTGAAGAATGTAGGATAGTTTGAGAAATACTATAAATACCTCAAGCCTCTAATACATTTACCTCACTTTAATCCCACCCAAAAGGAAGCACTTCTTCTTCCTGAAATCTATGAGGCCATATTGATCAAGTCCAGTAACATGGGTATTCTCCTGCATCAGCACTGTCTCTACTGTCTCTACAGGCAACTCAGAAGGGAGATGCAGAGGTCATTCTTTCCTGTCGTGACTCAAAGCCATCAATCTTGGGTCTTGAACTAACAGTCATTAGAGCTTTCTTTCTGAAGCCTGGTTCTCTAAAATAAGAAAGACTGCCAATGGTCTATACTGACAATCCAGGCTGCCAGATGACATGAGATCAGCTCCTGCCTCCACCCTGTGTGCACTGCAGAGGGCACTTAGAGCAATATTCCAGGGCAGAAGACAGCATAAGAATGGCACTGACTGACCCAGAGCCCCATTTGAGCATCTTTTGTATCTGTCTAGGTCACGACTGCCAGAACAATATGAGAGGTACTAAGACAACCCTCCCAACAGGCAGTGCCCTACCTCACTGGCTCAGCCTTGTACCTGCTCTATATCCCACATTTCTCCTAATAAAATGCCTGTATGTTTAATCCTGTCTTGGTACTTGCTTCTCAGGTGGCTGAGCTTAGCATATCTGGAGCAACAAATTTATACTTTCTGAAACCAGCAACTTTCAAACAGGTCATCAGAAAATGGGTATCTTGCAAAAAGTTATTAAAATAAACTTCAGGGGAGCTAGAGAGATGGCTCAGTGGATAAGAGCACTGGCTGCTCTTACAGAGGACCCGGGTTCAAGTTCCAGCACCCACATGGCTAACAACTGTCTGTAACTCCAGTTCCAGGGGAATCCAATGCTCTCTTCTGACTTCTGTGGGCACTGCATGACACAGGTACACTTACATAAAATATTTAAAAATAATAATAAAATAGACCTCAGGTTTGGAGTTCTTCCTTCTCCATTCCATTCCTCTCTATCTTGAAAAGGTTAATAAAAGAAAATCAGATTTTAAATAGATATATCAAATTCATAACTCTCCTATTAGTAAAGATTTTCCCTTCATTATAACTTCACCCAGTTCTAATAAGAAGACAGAAAATATAAAATTGTTACTTGGATTTAACTATTTAAGTGTCTATCTGGTTCCACTATACATTTCTGGAAGACAGCACCTCTCCCATTCATATTTTCAGCAAGTTCTAAGCCACCCATAGCAAGGACTCCGTTGCTGCCTGGTGACAAAGGCAAGACCTGAAATTAGAAAGCTGGATGGTGGTGAATTGTAAAGATCAAGGTGAGATGCGGTTCCAGAATTCCCCAGAGATGTGGAAAGGCAAATAATATATACCTACTGTTTTCATGTACAACTATGGGAGATAATATTCAAGCTTCATTTCACAAACTACAGAAAGTAAAATCTAAGAAAACTCTCAGATACCATGGGAATAAGAAAAGGATAAAATGAGAAACACTGCAAGGCATGACTACACTGCTGAGGGGCTCTGCACCAGGAATGTCTACCAGCCTGAATCAGCCACCTGCCTCTAAGAGCTGCCAAAAGCACCATGTCTGGATTTCGGAGACTAAGTTGCAGTAATTGTGTGGACAGATATACATGTATGTATTACATATACACAGATATATTTATTACAGATCATATACAGATTTAGTCAAACATCATCAGACACTACAACAGCTATAATTACATTTTCCTTTAGTAAGCAAAAAGAAAGATCTTATACCTTCCTACCATGTAAAAGGGTTTCTTTTCAACAAAATATTGATCTACTTAGCTAGCCAACAGTGGGCATTTATTAAGTAACTTGATGACTGCAAGCAGAAATAGAAAATAAAATGTTTGAGAATTAGATTAGACTACATAACTTGATTCCTTCATGGCTACTTAATAAAAAAAGAAACTTCACCAAGTGTTAGCATATTTATGATGATTAAACTTTTTACTACAACAATGAAAACAAGTGTATTATCATAGACCCCAAACAATGACACTTTAACTGGCATTTCCCATAATAGATTAATTCATCTAAATTATACCTTGTCATTGGGGAATTTTTTTTTCCTGTATATTGATGGATTTAAAACCTAATTAACTGCCCCCCAATTGTTGAAAAGCTCACAGGAATACTAGCTTGAGTGGTGTATTCTATGTCCATTCAGTGAACATGAAGAGATGAAAACATTCTGCAGACCAGCATCAAAAAAGCAGAAAGAATTTTCCTTCCCTTCTTTCCCATTATTCTCCCCAGAAGCTACTATAGGTAAAGTGAAATTAAAGAACAAAGACATGGGGCTGGGGATGGAACCTAGTTACTACAGTGCTTGCCTGACATCCACAAAAGCCCCGGGATAGATCCCCAGCAGGGTATAAACTGAGCATGTCGGCACATACTTGTAATCCCCACACTCAGGAGGTAAAGGCAGGAGGATCAGAAGTTCAAGGACATCCTTGACTATGTAGTGCGTTCCAGGCCAGCCTAAGCTATATGAGACCTTGTCTAAAACAAAACAACGCAAAACCAAAGATATACCTACAACAATCTGCAACAATATGAAGTGATTAATTCCAGGTCTTTTACATATATTAAATACTCCATTGAAAATATAATGCAAAATGAGTTCTACAGAACTGCAAGTCAGCACTAAGCTAGCAATGCTTTTGCCTGTCAGGCTTAGGAAGAAAATAAAAGTATAGCACTTCCCATTTCACATAGCTACCATGTCATTTGTCCTATGAGTCAACTAAACAATAGATATGAATAAAGGTATCTGCTTGTTCAGGACATTATAAAACATCTCACAATGAAGCCACAGTAAAAAGAACAAATCCCAAATAATTTAATAAGTACTTTATGTGAAAATCATAGAAAAGCAAATAATACCAAATACTTAGACAGAAAAGATATACAAAATTGGCAATTAGAGGTTAAAGAAAACCATGAGACCTATAATTCCAAAAAGTGTGACAATTTGGCAGCCAGATGTAGTAACATGTAATTTCCTAGAAAAGATATTCCCTCTATTTAATCCAGAAAACAATAAAAATCCTAATTACAAGCCATGAGCAGGTGGAAGAGGGTCACTTGTTCCTTGTCCACGGGTATTGTTTTCCTTGCTAGCTGTCACTAATCACTTAAACGAACACAGGACTTCTCAAACAATTGCTTCTAAAGTTTCATGCTAATGATTTCTGGCAACAAAACACAGTACACATGTTAAAAATAAGCAACCTGTCATGCTAGACAGAGCATTCCCATCCCTTCCTTCATCTGATGGGTGCTTATGGAGGCCCCAGAAGGTGACTAGGCATTGTTCTAGGCTAGAGACTGAGCACAAACAAAAGGATGCAAAGCCCTGCTGTGAAGGGGGCTTTCTACATGGGGCCTGATGCGGAGTCAGGAAAATGAGTAACAGGCTCTGTGTGTGTGTGTGTGTGTGTGTGTGTGTGTGTGTGTGTGTGTAAGAGTGTGTGTGTGTGAATGTACATGAGTGTGTGCATGTGCAAGTGCATGTGCGTGTGTGCATATGTGAGTGTACCTGGGTATTCTACTCTGCTTCACAGTCATTCTACTCGACAATTATCCTTCAGTGCTACCAGACAGAGATTAAAGAAAAATAATGTGATAAACGCTCTGGGCCAAGCTTTAAGACAAATCTATTGTGTGTTTGTGTGAGTACATATGTGGGAGGCATGTGTGTACCACGGTGTGACTATGAAAGTGAGCAGGCAACCTCGAGTGTCAGGTGGTACTTTCCATCTTATTTGAGAGTCTCTTTGCTATTTTCCACTGTGCACACCAGGCTAGGGGTCCTGTGAACTTCTAGGGGGTCTCTTGCCTCTTCCTCCCACCTGTGCCCAAAAGACCTGGAGTTATAGATGTGCACAGTACTACATATAGCTTTGCATGGATCCTAGGGCCTTGAACTTAGGTCCTCATGCTTGCAGGGAAAGCATTTTATACACTGAGCATTTCCCCAGCCCAGATAAAACTATCTTTAAAAGAAAACCACAACCACAAGCCAAGTGTGGTGGTGCACACCTTTAATTCCAGGCAGAAGTGGGCCTGGACTACTGAGGGCGGGGAGAGACAGAGAGGGAGGGAGGGAGAGAGGGAGGGAGGGAGGGAAGGTGGAAGGAAAGGGAAGGAAGGAAAAGATAACCCAGCATCAGCCAGGCATCACTGAACACTACATATATAAGATTTTGCAGGCCATCTATGGCCTGTGTCACAACATAATCATCATTTTAATAAAACCTTTAAAAAAGTTAAACTTATCTCACAATTCACACAAAGAGAGACAGGTCTAAATTTATCTTTGCCATAATTTGTCAATCCTATACACACACACACATACGCACACACAATCTGAGCACACTTACTTTAAGCACCATCAATCCTCCACATTATGTTTCATTCTATTCATGTTTTTGCATTTACTCTTTTGCTCTTTATTTTTATTCCATCAAAAAATCTAGGAACTCTTTTCTCTGAGCCACAATAGTTTCAACTATAGCAGCTTCAAGGCAGTTCTGACGAGGGGGGTCCACCTACTCTGCTTCACAAAACAATCAGCGAAAACTAGGCAAAAAAAACCCTTGTTAAGTTTATACTCTGGAAAAGAGACAAGACAGAGGTGGGGGCCTGCCCTCCATCCACTTCCTGCGGCAGTTGCACACCAAATGTAAAGTCCCCTTACCTTGCTGGAGGGACATCAATATTGGAGGAAACCACTTTTCGCTTTTGCTCAAGGAGACAGACGGATCGAGTGTTTTCTTTTTCATGATCAAGGATCCGGTTGGCTTTTTTAGTGTCTGTTGTTTTCACATCTTCCTCCATGGCCAGGGGGAACAAGTGATGAGACATCTTCTTACTGGAGTCACGTTTTAAGTCCTCTGATTGAAACGTGAAAGTCATTTCCCGCTTAAAACTCCCCACCTGCAAAATGGAACACAGAAACACAGAACATCAGCTTTGCAGTGCTGTCATGAGGAGAGGCTACACTCTCCTCTCCATTTGTCTTAGGAGTTTATTGTTTAATGAAAGACATCTAATGCATAAAGGCAAACTTTAACTATTAATACTGATCTTAGTTTTAATGAATAGGATGTAAGACAAATATGAAATCAAAGCTTAGTGAATTGAATCCCATTATTTCCAAATTGTAATCACTAGAGGAAAAAAGACAAAAGTTTAAAAAAGGTTTTCGTAACATAATTACCATTACAAATGAATTTAGCAACAAATGAGTGTGAGTCATAAGTGTAGCAAGAAGGGTTAAACTATGGTAATCTGGAATCTCACCACTCAATGGAGCATGTTTTAAAATATGCTCAGCAGCAAGACATGTCACAGGCACATGAAACAAGCTTTCTCCTTGTGGAGTCGGTGTGTGGAGCCCAGTTGTGTGATCAATAATAAGTCTTTACCAGCCTACTGAAACTGAGAATATGCTTGTTTGTTTCTATTTAATTTCAGATAGAATAAAACGCAAAAAGAACTTGGTCAAATAGATTTACAGTTACAGACTTAAAAGCCATAAGCCTACAGCATTTTCAGAATAAAATATAACTATGTATGTTGGATAACAGTAGTGTCTAGTATTAATCACCATAAAACTCCGAAATATGTATATGGTGCTCATAGGAACTGTCCAGATATGGGATTTCCAGATCCCAGGGATGACTTGGCTGGCATGAATGTTCCATGTGAAAACACAGCTCTAAGGGGCTCCATCCTCCATCTTCCCCTTAGCCATCCCAGTCAGGGAGAGTGAAGATCAGCTTCCTGTGGGTTGGGGGGTAGGAGACAGACCTATAACCAGCTCCAAAGGAAAAGACTGGCCACTTTGTTCTAATGGGAAATCATTGAAAGTTTACCTTAGATCATGAAAATGAATGCCTGCTCTAAAGTGTTGACTGTTTTAATGACATATACAAGAGAAAGGAGCAAAAATAATTCATACTACCAAAGGGCAATGCAGTAGACAGCAAATTACAAGTATTTTAAACATCCACCACTAATCAATATTGTATATAAATCTGCCTAGATGTGGGGGTACCAGGAAGGCACTTGCTTCTTTACTGGCCTGTTCCCAGCCTGTGATGCAACATGAAGACATTAAACACCAGGCATAAAAGGAGAAACAGAGGCCTTGGTTTGGATGATTATTGACAGCTTCTCCTAAATGCCATGTAACAGAATAATTAACTGTGTGGGGAGGATTAAGTTGAACAATAATTAATACTATGCCTCCCCCTAGGGCCAACTGGGCCTTTGAAATGACATCTAACTTTTACAGCAGGAAGACACTACAAGAAATATAGCTTTAACCTAACAATTTAAGAGAAAAATCTGAAGCAAATACATACAAATACAATAAATTTCCTACCAAAATGATGTAATAATCATATGCTATGCTCTTGGCCAAGGCTTCATAGTAAAACAAATTGCAGTAATATTCAACAATGCAAGCTATCAATCTAAAATATTTCCTACACAAGAACTAATCTCTTAATAGTAACCAGAGAATTTTAGCAATGGAATAGATTTCAGAGACAACTGAGTCCACATTCCTTGTTTAAAAGTGACTAGAAATGATCAGAAGACCAAAAATAACTACAAAAATGAGCAAAAGATATTAAATCACTATGCAGACAGAGACATGGTAACACTCAACTGCTGCAAACAAACACTACCTGGATCTTCCATCAGTTGAGCAGAAGAAAGAAGCAATCCCTTTTCTGAGGTGTCCAGAAGCAGCAAACCTACAGGAAGACTGATGGTTGTCTGGGGTCAGGAGGAGAATCAGGTGCTGATTTCAACTAGGCATGAAAGAACTTTGCAAGATGGTGGGTACATTCTACAAATAGACCACAGCTCAAAGTTCATTAAAATTCATTGACCTGTGTTCTTACGATGGGATGAATGCTACTTAAATTATGATTCAATAGGGCAGTAGGGAAGAGGATGAGATGAGCCAAGTAAACAGCGACTGGTGTGAGGGGATGTGCCTAAGAACCCTAGATCAGAAATTTGGAAATTGCGACAAAAAGATGTGGCCACAAAGTCCATGAATCCATTTTGTTATTTTTTTGAAACACAGGACTGCTACAAGCAGTGAGTGGTATGGTCATACCCTGCAAATGCAAGGTAGGACTAAAATCCAATCCCCGTTCAAGCCAGTTCTCTAAGCTTCCTCATCCGTGCAAGAAGGGTATCTTTCTAATCCATTCACCTGGAAAGGAACTTTTTGTACTTCATTTGCTCAAGGGCACATTTTTCCCTCCCCAGTTTACATAGTGCCCTACTGACAAAACTGTTCCTGGTGATCTGCAAGGGCTAGGCCATGTTTCCTTCTTGGAAGCTAGTGTCAATTAATTATTGGTAACTCATAAATATGAGTCAATATTCTCTTAATGGTATGGTACCATCTGAGAAATCACTCTATGCTATGGCTCTATGCAGGCAGAGAGTTTGACAGAAGACAGCTAGAAAGAACATAACAAAAAACCTGATTGAATGGAGAGAAGTGAACAGCAGCAGCAGCATTTTCTGAGTGCCACAAAAGAAGAAATAGCACACAGAGCTAAGTGAGGGTCAATAAGGGCCTGCCAAGGACGTCACTAGAGTCTAAGTATCATGAAGATACTACAACCTGGGTAGAAACAGCTGCTTCTGAGAGGGGTCCTGACTGACAGGATCTGGTTGATATGGCCACTCAAAAGAGCCTGCTCATCTGCTGGAGCCTTGGGTACTTCCAAGCCTCCTGATTCACTACCATCACTACCACTTAATGGATCAACTGGGGAGAAAACCTAGCAACCACCCTCAAGCACCTTAAACACTCATCCAGGAAAAGCAAGAGTGATAGGAATTTTTAGTAGGTTTTCTTTTTCTTTCAGTATGTAAAAATTTGGAAGGCAAGGGAAAGTGTTACACACTGATGACTGGTGATGATCTAAATCTGAACCACACACCAATGCATTCGTGGCAACAGAAATCTAAGAGGTGGGGAAGAATTTCCTTGTCAAGAGATTCACTGAGCTACAAATATGGGGTTAACCAAAAAACTAAGGAATGAAGAAAGACCCAGATTACAAAGCTAGAAACCCTGTAAGACAATAAATGTGGGCAAGCAGATAGAAAATGAGTAACTCTCAAGAGAAAACACAAGGCAGATATTTTGGAACAAACATAATCTAGATTTCTAAAAAAGAAGTGTCCCCTGTACAAGGAAGGACTATTGAGGCTGTCACATATGGATAAGATGGAAGCAGAGGGCTAACAGACTGAACATCCTTAACCCAGAAATCCAAAACCTTAATGTTCTAGCACACAAAGTCTATGAGCATGATACCACAGACAGAGAATTCTACACCAGGAAATTTGTTTCATGTACAAAATTATTATGAGTATTATATAAGATTACCTTCAGGCAATCTATATAAAGTACACAAAAAACATATATGAGTTTTGTGTTTAAACTTGAGTCATGACCATGAGATCTCATCATGTATATGCAAATATTCTAAAACTCCTGAAAAATCCAAACTCCAAAACCCATCCAGTCCCAAGCCTTTCAGATACGGGACAATCAACCTGGAGTATATGGTTCCTGTTAATACATCTGAAAATGGTCACTGACTAACTGAAAGAGGGTAGGTAACAAGGCACTTTGGTAAAGGGTCTGCCTAGGAGGATATGGAAACATTTCCTGGAGAGAATAAGTGGCTTCCATCCTCAGCACTGCGGCCCTCAAAGGGCTGCCTTAAGAAGCACTGTCTTGTTCCTTCACAGGCAGGCAGCATCTGGGTGTATCTACTCCTGCTTGGGCTAACTCTCTTTTGACCTCCTGCTCCCTCTTCTCAGTTTTACCTCAGGGCAAATGAAACACTGTAACTACAAGAAATAGTTTATACTCAGCTGTGTTCAGGAAAGCCCAAGCTTTTGGATTTTTCAATTAATCAGAGGAATCTAAAAAGCCTCACTAAAACATTTTACCTTTCGGTTTTTCTATCACATTGAAATGCACTTTTCATTTTTAAATGCTTTTTTCCTACAAACTATGTGCCTAGTAAACTTTCAACTGAAATGCATAAAAGGAAAGCCTCTTGGTCTTTCTCTACTCTCCTCTAACCCTGCTCAGCCAGGCCCACTCCACAGAACAGCTTTTAACAATTTTCAGAGAACATAGGTTTGGATGTAACTACACTACATGTTTTTACTTGACAATCTCTCAGGAACATCTTTTCATGCGTAGTAGGTTCCCTACAGTTCTTTGTTTTGAACATGATAACACTTCACAAGGTCATTTGCTTTTTATCAATTTCCTCACAGAAATTAAGGTACTTTTCAATTTTTCATTATTAAAAATGATGAGCATCCTTGTATGCATATCTTTATGTGCTTGAGGAAGAATTTTGTAGAAAAATTTCCAGGAGCAAGGAACTGCTGAATCAAACTAAGTTTTAAGTGAATGCAGTGTACCCCCACACAGCGACACTGGAATGAATGTACCCACACTCTACTACAGGTAACACGTTTATTTCCAACCCATTCAAGATCCCTGACCAAGATACACACCAGGTTGGATGTGAATTCTCTGAATTAAAAAAACAAAATAGTATGCCAAAATCTACACACCTCAGGGAACAGAAGATTGCATGGAGCTAGAAATTTCTTCTACTTCTTTTCATATATAATCAGGTGGACACATATACAAGGGAACATATATAATTTTTAAGTAGTGAGATTATAGAGGGTTTTTACTTTAAAAAATAGAAAAACTGAAATAACGAGACAAGCTGTTTTGCTTATGAGAATCACAAAAATTATGAATAATTCTCTATGCTCTGGGGGTTTTTTGGTTGTTTTGGTGGTTTTGGTTGGTTTTGTGTTTTGTTGTTTGATATTTTGAGACAAGGTATTATGCAGCC